ATATATTTTTTGGCCATGGCAAATGTGGGGATTTATTTTGCTTGGGTATGCACATGTTACAAGGTTTGGGTTTTTTCCTTTCTTTTCTTTTTTTTTTTTTTTAAGCTGGGGGAGAGAGACGAAAAATTTCTAGTTGAAAAATAAGATTTTTAAAAGGGAAGGGGACAAAAATGAAAAAAATATGCCTAAGAAGCAAGGTAGATAAAAGTAGTCCAGAAAAATCTTTTATCTGTGAAGAGGCAAATCTCACACCCATATTCAGCCAACTCTCAATGCTAAGGAAGAGAGAAACAATGGTACAAATACTCTCAAAACAGCACTGAAAATTAATTTTTGAGACCCACATGTACAAAAATATTTATAGTAGCTCTTTTTGTGGTGGCAAAGAATTGGAAATTGAAAGGATGCCCATCAATTGGGGAATGGCTGAACAAGTTGTGGTATATGATTGTGATGGAATACTACTGTGCTATAAGAAATGATGAACAGGCTGACTTCAGAAAAACCTGGAAAGATTTGTATGCTCTAATGCTAAGTGAAGTGAGCAGAACCAGGAGAACGTTGTACAGAGTAACAGCCACGTTGTGCAATGACTAATCTTGATAGACTTAACCCTTCTCAGCAATACCAGGATCTAAGATATCTCTAAAGGCCTCGTGATGGAAAATGCTATCCACATCCAAAGAAAGAACTATGGAGTTTGAATGCAGATGGAAGCATACTATTTGCTATTTTTTTCTTCTGTTGTGTTTTGTTTCCTCTTTCTGGTGGTTCCTCCTATTGGTTCTAATTCTTACTTACAATATCACTAATGTGAAAATATATTTAATAGGAATGTATATGTATAGCCTATATCAGATCACTCTCTGTCTTGGGGAGGGTGATGGGGAGGAAGGGGGAGAAAAATTTAAAACTGAAAAGCTTATGGAAGTGATTGTTGATAATTCAAAATAAATTAATTAAAGAAACCTAAACCATTAAAAAAAGAAAAAAAAGAAAATTAATTTTTGTACTTAAAATATCAATATTAGAATTCCAGCATTCTAAGAATGAGCAATTCTTAATCAATGAAATACAAGGCAATCAGCTGGTCTTAGAGTCAGGTAGACCTGAGTTCAAATCCAGCCTTTGACACATATACATGACACATGTGGTGCTTGGGAAATCACTCACTCATATCAGAATGACCCAGCAACTAGCTTAAGAGTCTAAACTGCAGAATAGTTGTGAGTCCATACTGGTAGAGGGATTTTCCTCCCTCAGACTTCCCATCACCAAGGAAATCAAAAGTGGGCCACCCCTGCCTCAAAAAAAAAAAAAAAAGAAAGAAAGAAAGAAAGAAAGAAGAAAGTTCACTTAACAAAGCCCAAATGAAGACCAAATTTGGAAGAAAATTCAGTTACCCAGATCCTCTCCTGCCTCCTCATTCAATGTCTTCATGCTATTTACTCCATACTGCAGCTGAAAAGTATCGCTTTTGAGACTGCTGATGATGACCTAAGACCTGAAGAGAGATGTTTTCTCTCTAAGCTCATTGCCTCTCTGGCTCCGGCCTTCCCTGACTGGAGAAAGAAACCTCTGGGGAGAGAAGAGGGATGGGCAATTGTGTGGTTTTGTTTAAAAGGCTTTTTTGGGGGGTGACTGAGACAAAGAGGAAGATGAAGATAGCCCCCACTGCAGTTCAAGAGGAGACTAAAAATCACAGAATGGAAGGGACCTTAGAGATGAAGAACCCAAGTCCCTTAGAGTTGAGCAACCTGAGATCTAGAACTGAAGAACCATACCCAAGACCAAGCAAGTGTTAAGCAGCAGAAGCTGAATACTATGGAGATAATTGTTGCTTGCTTTCTTTGGATATCTCAAGTTGGTTTTCAGCTCTTCATAAGCTCATTCTGGGTAAGTCAACAAAAGAGGTGAGACTACAGGACTACTTCATTCTGCTGGTGATGGGGAATGGGTTTGTCCCATGTGACCAGGCTCGCATCACAGAAGAACTCTAACATCTTTAGCAACTATTCCTGGTTACCAGGACTCCGGCCTGCTGAGGGTTTTAAACACACCTGAATTTAATGATTCAAGTATAGCAATCTCAGTATTGTTTCTTGGACTCTTCTCTATTGGCTCTGCTGGAAAGATCATGTCTGTAATTCTACATTGTGAAGGAAAGCATCAAGAATTAAGCAAGCTCAGATTTGAATTTCTAAAGGTCATGGAGAAGTCCAAACCACTCTGAGAATCAGCCAGTCATCTCCGTACCTCCAGTAAACAGAAACAAATCACCAGTCTCACCTTACTACCAGCATAAGTCTGGTTTTGATATATACTTGGCCAAGCTTTTTGCTCATGTACAACTTTTAAAGAGGTTACAGCAAAGAGACATTTTCACTCTTGGAAATGTTTTCAATTGGACAAGCTCCCATAAATATCTGGATGTACTTTAGATGTTAAAAAAAATCATCAGAGGGGCAGCTAGGTGGCACAGTGGATGGAGCACCAGCCCCGGATTCAGGAGGACCTGAGTTCAAATCCAGCCTCAGACACATAACACTCATTAGCTGTGTGATTCTGGGCAAGTCACTTAACCCCAACTGCCTCATCAAAAAAAAATTCATCACAACATCTGTAAACATGACTATGTTTCTAAAAAGGCATATGAGTCTGAGAACCACCATGTGCTTCAGCATAGCCCCGGACAAACAGGCAACCTCTACTGGCCAGACCACCATGTGTTTTAGCATAGCCCTGGGGAAATGCAGAAACATCCCACTGGCCTCAGCACACTCCAGACACCAGCACTAGGACCCCATCTCAGCACCAGGTAAGCTTCTAGATCCCTACTGCCTCCAGCAGCTCTAGCTACCTCCCACCCCCTCAGCGAAGCACCAGACAGGAGAGTCCCCTGTGGGCCTCAGGGTAACATCAGTGTAGCACCAGGTAAACAGCCAGGGCCTGTAGCCCCTGGCACAAGAAGCCTGAGACTGTGCCCTTTCTACCCTGGGAACAGAGCTTAAATTTAAAAGAAGGGAAAAAGGCCCAAAAAATGAGCAAAAAACAACCAAAAAATAATCTGACCACAGAAAGTTATTATGGTGACAGGGAAGACCAAGACACAAACTCAGAAGAGGACAACAATGTCAAAACACCTATGGGCAAAATCCCAAAGGAAAACGGAACATGGTCTCAAGCAAAGAAAGAACTCATGGAAGAGCTCGAAAAGGAACTTAAAAATCACATAAGAGAGGCAGAAGAAAAACTGAGAAAAGAAATGAGAGTGATGCAAGAGAATTATGAAAAAAAGAGTCAATAGCTTGGAAAAAGAAAACAATTGCTTAAAAAGTAGAATTGGCCAAATGGAAAAGGAGATACAAAAATCCACTGAAGAAAACTTCTTAAATACAATTGGATGAATAGAAAAGAAACTACAAAAGCTAATCAAGCAAAACAACTCCTTAAAAATTAGAATTGGGCAAATGGAAGCTAATGACTCTGAGGCATCAAGAATCAATCAAACAAATTCAAAAGAATGAAAAAGTAGAAGAAAATTTAAAATGCCTCATGGGAAAAACAACTGACCTGAAAAACAGATCCAGGAGAGATAATGTCAGAATCATTGGACTACCTGAAAGACATAATCAAAAGGAGGACCTGGACAGCCTCTTCTAAGAAATTATCAAGGAAAACTGCCCTGATATCCTGGAACCAGAAGGGAAAATAGGCATTGAAAGAATCCACCGATCACCTCAGGAAAGAGATCCCAACATAATGGAACATGGTATTCCGGAAAGCAAAGGAGCTAGGATTACAACCAAGAATCACTTACCTGGCAAAATTAAGCCTAATACACCAAAGCAAAAAATGGTCATTCAATGGAAATAGAAGGATTTCAAGCTTTCATAAGGAGAAGATGAGAATTAAGCCAAAAAACTGATCTCCAATATCAAGACCCAAGAGAAGCATAAACAGGCAGATTTCAGAAAAACCTGTAAAAACTTGTATGAACTGATGCAAAGTGAAATTAACAGAAGCAGGAAAACATTGTACACAATATCAGCAACATTGTGTGATGATCAACTATGAATGACTCAGCTCTTCTCAGCAACATAATTATCCAACACACAAGTACAAAGGACTCATGAAGGAAAATGCTATCCACATCCAGATAAAGACTCTGAATGCAGCTTGAAGCATGTTTTATTCACTTTCTTTATTCTTTTTTGTGTTTTTTTTCCTTTTGATCTGTTTCTTCTTTCACAGCTGTGACTAATATGGAATATGTTTTACATGATAGCACATGTATAACCTATATCAAATTGCCTACCATTTTTGGAAAAGGGGAAGGGAGGAAGGGATAAAAATTTGAACTCAAAATCTTGTAAAAATGAATGTTAAAAATTGGCTTGACATGTAATTGGGAAAAAAAGAAATATATTAAATAATAAAAAAAAGAAATGATAAGCAGGATGCTTTTAGAAAAACCTGGAAAGACTCAGATGAACTGATATAAAGTGAAGTGAGCAAATTCAGGGAACACTGGACACAGTAATAGCAATATTGTACAATGATCAGCTGTGAATGATTTAGCTATTCTCAGCAATACAATGATCCAAGACAATTCCAAAGGAAATGGAAATATTGTTCACTTCCAGAGAAGAAACTGATGAAATCTGAATGCAGATTGAAGCATACTTTCTTTTTCTTGGTTCTTTTTTTTTTTTTGAGGGGGGGAAATCTGTTCTTTCACAACATGACTAATATAGAAATATGTCTGCATGACTAAACATGTATGACCTATATCACATTGCTTGGTTTCTCAATGAGGGGGGAGAAGAAGGAAGGGAGGGTATTTGGAACTCAAAATTTTTTAAAATGAAAGTTAAAAAATTATTCTTACATGTAATTGGAAAAGAAATAAAATATATTTTAAAATAAAAAAGTATATGAAATTCTTAATTTGTAATTTTAAAAGGCAAACAGAACATTTAAATAATTCCAATACTTACAGGCCTTCTATTTTAAGATGAATATTTATTTCTTCTGTGATTAAAATCTGCAACAGAAGACAACATGAGTCAACTTACGAAGTGAGGAAAATAACTGCTTTTGGAAAAACCCAAATGTAAATTGGCATTACATGAATACATCAAGTGGTGAGAAGACAGCAAAGGAGGGACAAAGAAGAAATGGCTGGAGACATCTATTAGTAATTAGTATATAGTATTGACATTATAGGGGCAGCTAGGTGGCACAGTGGATAGAGCACCAGCCCTGAAGTCAGGAGTACCTGAGTTCAAATCTGGCCTCAGACCAAACACTTGACACTTACTAGCTGTGTGACCCTGGGCAAGTCACTTAACCCCAACTGCCTAAAAAAAGAAAAGCATTATAAATAGTAAATATTAGTATTAGTTTCACCCTGAAAAACTGGTAATCTAGCCTCCACTGAATACCATCAGCACTGCAGAATTCATTGTAATCATTCAGTTGTTTAGTCATGCCTGACTCTGTGACCCTGTATGGGGTTTTCTAGGCAAAGATACTAGAGTGGTATGCCATTTCCTTCTCCACTGCATTGAGGCAAACAGAGGTGAAGTAACTTACCCAGGGTCACACAGCTACTGAGTGTCTGAGGTCATATTTGAATTCAGGTCTTCCTGACTCCAGACCCAGAGCTCTATCTACTGCAGCGCCCCCTAGCTGCCTCAGAAAATTCATTACTTTCTGAGAAAACCGATTTTGCTTTTTGACATTTATAACCGTTGCCAAGTTTTTCCTTACATCAAGTCAAAATTTGCCACTCACCTACTCCTCCCAGTTGTGACCTTAGTTCTGGCCTTTGGGGTCAAGCAAAATGAATTTAATCCTTCCATCTAACACTCTACATAGTTGAAGATAGTAATTATGTCCCCCAATTCTTCTCTTCCCCACATTAAATTCCACTCCCCCGTCCCCCACCCCATCCCGTCAACAAATTATCTTATAGTATCATCCCCAGACCTTTGTCCATCCTGTTGTACTCATCTGTATGCTCTATGACTTGGTGTAAAATGTAATACTGTCTAAACCAGGGAGCATGGTAGGATTATCGCCACCCTTGTGTTTTAAAGGCATTTTCTATTCAGATCACAGGATCACAGACTTAGAGCTGGAAGTGATCTCAGAGGCCATGTCACCAAACCCTCCTCATTTTCCATGTGAATAAACAGGCTCAAGGAAATTAATGCAGCCTGCAGCCTAAAAGTGCCATAGCTTTTTTGGTTGCCATGTTATGTTGTGATGTCCAGATTACAGAATCATAAAACACTGGTCTAGAAAGGACCTTTGACATTACCTAGTCTAACCCTTCTCATTTTATGGATAAGGAAACTGGAGGTTACATTGTTACCTGGCCATGCTTCCTTCATCCTATACTTGTGAACCAAGTATAATACTTTGCATTTATTCCTACTAAATTTCGTAATTTCGTTAAAAACCAAAGCAATAGAGACATTATATGGGATTTCTTCAGAAAAACTGATGAGCTCCTCCAAACCAAATGAAAACAGGTAGACACAGGAAAGGATTGAAAAAATAGGGTGCAAAATATGGCTCAGGATTAAAAAATACGAGGCCTTCATACAAATGGGAAAAGGACCCACATGCACAAAAATATTTATAGCAGCTCTTTTTGTGGTGGCAAAGAATTGGAAATTGAGAGGATGCCCATCAACTGGAGAATGGCTAAACAAATTGTGGTATATGAATGCAATGGAATACTTTTGTGCTATAAGAAATGATGAACAGGCTGACTTCAGAAAAACCTGGAAAGATTTGTATGCTCTGATGCTGAGTGAAGTGAGCAGAACCAGGAGAACGTTGTACAGAGTAACAGCCACGTTGTGCGATGACTAATATTGATAGACTTAACCCTTCTCCGCAATACCAGGATCTAAGACATCTCCAAAGGCCTCGTGATGGAAAATGCTATCCACATTCAAAGAAAGAACTATGGAGTTTGAATGCAGATGGAAGCACACTATTTGCTCTTATTTTCTTCTGCTGAGTTTTGTTTCCTCTTTCTGGTGGTTTCTCCTGTTGGTGCTAATTCTTACTTACAATATCACTAATGTGAAAATATGTTTAATAGGAATGTATATGTATAGCCTATATCAGATTGTGCGCCGTCTTGGGGAGGGTGGTGGGGAGGAAAGGGGAGAAAAATTTTAAACTCAAAAGCATGTGGAAGCGATCGTTGATAAATCAAAATAAATTAATAAAAAAATAATAATAAGAGGCCGAAAGCTTACAAATTACACAGAAGCCTTATCTACTTGTGTATCATGCACATCGTCATAGAAGGATTTCTTCCACATGATACTAGAAAGGCAATGGAAATTCAGATGTCACCTAGAAAAGAATACATTTAGATGATCTGAACCTTCTGGTTGAATGGCTTAACCCAAAGAGTAGTCATCAAAGAGGCTGCTATCAACTTGGAATGAGGCCTCCAGTGGGTGTCCCAGGGACCGGTGTCTGGTCCTGTGCTACCTGGATAAAGGTACTGATGACATCCTTATTGAATTTGCAGTTGATGCAAAGCTAGGAGAGATGGCTAACATACCAGGTAACAGGATGCAAAAAGATCTTGATAGGCTAATAGTTCAGGTTGGAAAATCAATGACAGTATTCACAAAAAAATAAGATAAGCAAGAGGAGATTGGCAACTACCAACCATTTACATACTTTCCTATGAATAAATGAAAAAAAAAACATTTATTAAGCACTTACTATGTACCAGGCAATATGCCAAGCTCTGGAAATACAAGAAATGAGACAGTCCCTGACTTACATTCTAATAAAAGAGACAACAGATACAGAAGAATGGTGGCCAGGGACAGGAATTTGGGTCTGGAGGAGTCACAGGGATGGTGAATTGATTTATAGGGCAGTCAACTGACACACCCTTTCCAACAGAAATGATACTATTGATTTGATTACTGTGTCCAAAAAGACAAAGAAATGGAAGGAGGCAAGAGGGGTGGGGAATAGGATGTGCATGTAGTTAGCAGAGCAGATGGCAAGATGACCTGGGTGGGGGGGTGGGTGGATGGGATGGGATGTGAATCATCCCATCTGGTCTGAGATGGTTTTGTCTGAGGTTATAGTGGGCTAAGCAAGTTTATATTCATTCAATATGGCTCAGCCCCAGGTGGGAGTTCTAAAGCTAAATAGAGTAACTTCCCAATAAGGGGGGGATTTGGGGCACAGATTCTAGAGATCCTGTGTATAGGATGCTACTAGAGGTCAGGAGAAGCTGGGTTGCCAGGGCAGATGGCAAGATGACCTAGCCGGATGGCATGTGAATCATCTCTATATGTAATTGTTATGAGAATGAACTTGGATATATGAATGATTGTTGGATATATTCTTTACGGAAGATTTATGAGAGGATACACATGATGGGAAGGCATAGATAGGATCCAATCTAGATTGCCAGAAGGAGTACCCCCATCAGGGAGATCACAAAGTCGGTGAGATACTGAAAGTATCCCAAGGGGTACCGTGAGGCAGGTGAATTGTTCTACTTTATAACGGAGTAACTTAGCCCTCCTGAGAGTTGATATTGAAAACTTTTTTGGCTCTTTGAAAAATGTCAGCTCTGGCATAGTGTAACCAATGAATGTAGAGGCAGTGGAGAGTGTGCCCCTGGATAAGTAACTCTGACTCAGTATCTTCACCTGTAATTGGAGTGAGGACCTGGAGTAAGATTGGAGTAAGGACCTGGGTTCAAATACTGCCTCTGACACATCCTAACTGTATGACCATCAGTTAACTTCTCTGTGCCCCAGGAAAGTCTATAAAACAAAATGACAGCAGAATTACTCATCTAGTAGTGCAGACAGTTTCCCCACAGATTAAATCATTGTAAGGATCAAAAGAGACATAGTATGATTGGACTATTTGAGAGTAGGTGATGAAATTTTGAGGGTGAAGATAGGGGGGCATAATTGATTTGGGACCTTAATTTTGAAATTAAGTGTCTATGAGCCATTCCCCAATTGATAAATGGTCAAAATATATGGACATGCAGTTTTTAAAGGAAGAAATCCAAACTATCAACAATCATATGAAAAAAAAAATGTTCTAACTCACCAACAGGGAAATGCAAATTAAAGCATCACTCCACACCTATCTTATTGACAACGATGACAAAAGAGGAAAATGACAAATATTAGAAAGACTCTGGGAAAACAAGTACACTGTCGATGGAGTTGTGAATTGGTCTAGCCATTTTGGAAAGCAATTTGGATTTATGCCCAGAAAGTTACTAAACTGTACATAACCTTTGACCCAGCAATACCACTGCTAGGTCTAGGAACCAAATAAATAAAAGAGGAAAAGGGCCAATATGTAAAAAAAATATTCATAGCATCTCTCTTTGCTGCCCCGAATTAGAAATAGGAATAGGGCATTCCTATTGGGAAATAACTAAAGAAATGGTGGCATATGAATGTAATGGAACATTATTGTACTATAACAAATAATGATGGAGTAGGAAATGACAAAACCACTCCAGTATCTTTGCCAAGAAAACCCCAAATGGGGTCATGAAGAGTCAGACAAGACTGGAATGACTGAACAACAACAAAATTTCAAGGCAGCTAAGTGACACAATAGATAGAGTGCTGGGCCTGGAGTCAGGAAGACCTGAGTTCAAATTAGACCTCAGATGCTTCCTAGCTGTGTGACCCTGGGCAAGTCACTTAATCTTCTTTGCCCCAGTTCCCTCATCTGTAAAATAAGCTGGAGAAGGAAATACTTTCTTTGCCAAGAAAACTCCAAATGGGGTCACAAAGAGTTGGACACATCTGAACAACAACAAAAAAATAATGAAAACAATTCAGAGGAAACTGGTAAGACTTATGAACTGATGCAGAGTAAAGTGAGCAGAACCAGGAGAACAATTTATACAATGACAATGATATTACAGAGGAAAAGAAAATTTGAAAGGAAAGAATACACTGAAAGACTTTAGAACTCTAATCACTGCAATGAT